ATAGGCTCAAAATAAAGGGATGGGGGAATATTTACCTAGCAAATAGAAAGCAATAAATAACAACAACAATAACAACAACAACAAAAAAAACAAAAACAGGGGTTGCAATCCTAGTCTCTGATAAAACAAACTTTAAACCAACAAAGGGCATTACACTGGTAAAGGGATCAATGCAACAAGAAGAGCTAATTATTCTAAATATGTGTGTACCCAATGCAGGAGCACCCAGATTCATAAAATAAGTTTAGAGACCTACAATGAGACTTAGACTCCCATGCAATAATAGTGGGAGACTTTAACACCCCACTGTTATTGTGTGGAGTGTTAAAGTCTAATATTGACTATTACCTGTCAATATTAGATCAACGAGACAGAAAATTAAGAAGGATATTCAGGATGTGAACTCAGTTCTGGACCAAGCAGACCTAATAACTATCTACAGAACTCCCCACTCCAAATCAACAGAATATACATTCTTCTCAGTACCACATTGCACTGATTCTAAAATTGACCAAACAATTGGAAGTAAAACACTCCTAAGCAAATGCAAAAGAACAGAAATCATAACAAACAGCCTCTCAGACCACAGGGCAATCAAATTAGAACTGAGTATTAAGAAACTCACTCAAAACCACACAACTACATGGAAACTGAACAACCTGCTCCTGAATGACTACTACTGGGTGAAGAGTAAAATTAAGGCAGAAACAATGAAATTCTTTGAAAACAATGAGAACAAAGATACAATGTACTAGAATCTCTGGGACACATTTAAAGCAGTGTTCAGAGGGAAACTTATAGCACTAAATGCCCATATCAGAAAGTGGAAAAGTTCTAAAATTAATGCCCTAATGTCACAATGAAAAGAACTAGAGAAGCAAGAGGAAACAAATTCAAAAGGTAGTAGAAGACAAGAAATAACTAAGATCAGAGCAGAACTGAAGGAGATAGAGACATGAAAAATCCTTCAAAAAAAAAAAAATCAATGAATCCAGGAGCCAGTTTTTTGAAAAGATTAACAAATAGACCACTAGCCAGACTAGTAAAGAAGAAAAGAGAGAAAAATCAAATAGACACAATAAAAAATGATAAAGGGGATATCACCAGTGATTCCACAGAAATACAATCTAACATGAGAGAATACTACAAACACCTCTACACAAATAACTAGAAAATCTAGAAGAAATGGATAAATTCCTGGACACATACATCCTCCAAAGACTAAACCAGAAAGAAAAAATCAAATCCCTGAGTAGACCAATAACAAGTTCTAAAATTGAGGCAGTAATTAACAGTCTACCAACCAAGAAAAGCCCAGGATCTGATGGATTCACAGCTAAATTCTGCCAGAAACTGATACGATTCCTTCTGAAACTATTCCAAGCAATAGAAAAAGAGTGACTCCTCCCTAACTCATTTTATGGGGCCAGCATCATCCTGATTCCAAAACCTGGCAGAGACACAAGAAAAGAAAATTTCAGGCAAATCTCTCTAATGAACATCAATGTGAAAATCCTCAATAAAATACTGGCAAACCAAATCCAGGAGCACATCAAAAAACTTATCTACCAGGCTTCATCCCTGGGATGTGAGGCTGCTTCAACATATGCAAATCAATAAATGTAATCCATCATATAAACAGAACCAATGACAAAAGCCACATAATTATCCCAATAGATGCAGAAAAAGCTTTTGATAAAATTCAACACTTTTTCATGCTAAAAGCTCTCAACAAACCAGGTACTAATGGAACATATCTCAAAATAATAAGAGCTATTTATGACAAACCCATAGCAAATATCATACTGAATGGGCAAAAGCTGGAAACATTCCCTTTGAAAACTGGCACAAGGTAAGGATGCCCTCTCTCACCACTCCTATTCAACATTGTATTGAAAGTTCTGGCCAGGGCAATCAGGCAAGAGAAAAAAATAAAGGTATTCAAATGGGAAGAGGAAGGCAAATTGTCTCTGTTTGCAGATGACATGATTGTACATTTAGAAAACCCCATCATCTCGGCCTCAAATCTCCTTAAGCTGATAAGCAACTTCAGCAAAGTCTCAGGATACAAAATCAATGTGCAAAATTTACAAGCATTCCTATACACCAATAATAGACAAGCAGAGAGCCAACTTATGAATGAATTCCCATTCACAATTGCTACAAAGAGAATAAATACCTAGGAATCAACTTATAGAGGATGTGAAGGAGAACTCTTCAAGGAGAACTACAAACCACTGCTCAAGGAAATAAGAGAGGACACAAACAAATGGCAAAACATTCTATGCTCATCGTTAGGAAGAATCAATATCATGAAAATGGCCATACTGCCCAAACTAATTAATAGATTCAATGCTATTCCCATCAAGCTACCATTGAATTTCTTCACAGGACTGAAACATCTCCTTTAAATTTTATGTGGAACCAAAAAAGAGCCCATATATCCAAGACAATCCTAAGCAAAAAGAACAAAGCTGGAGGTATCAAGCAACCTGACTTCAAACTATACTACAAGGCCACAGTAACCAAAACAGCATGGTACTGCTGCTAAAACAAATGGAATAGACCAATGGAATAGAACAGAGGCCTCAGAAATAGCACCACACATCTACAACCATCTGATCTACAACAAACCTGACAAAAACAAGCAATGGGAAAGGATTCTCTATTTAATAAACGGTTCTGGGGAAATGGGCTAGCCATATGCAGAAAACAGAAACTGGACTTCTTCCTTATACCTTATATAAAAATTAACTCAAGATGGATTAATAAAGGTAAAATCTAAACCATAAAAACTCTAGAAGAAAATCTAGGCAATAGCATTCAGGACATAGGCGTGGGCAAAGACCTCATAACTGAAACACCAAAAGCAATGGCAACAGAAGCCAAAATTGATAAATGGAATCTAATTAAACTAAAGAGCTTTTGCTCAGGAAAGGAAACTCTCATCAGAGTGAACAGGCAACCTACAGAATGGGAGAAAATTTTTGCAATCTATCCATCTGACAAAGGGCTAACATCCTGAATCTACAAAGAACTTACAACAAATTTACAACAAAAATAAGCAAACAAACAACTCCATCAAAAAGTGTACAAAAGATATAAACAGAGACTTCTCAAAAGAAGACATTTATGCAGCCAACAAACACATGAAAAAAAGTTCATCATCACTGGTCATTAGAGAAACGCAAATCAAAACCACAGTGAGATACCATCTCACACCAGTTAGAATGGCAATTATTAAAAAGTCTGGAAACACTGGATCCTGGGGAGGATGCAGAGAAGTAGGAACACTTTTACACTTTTGGTGGGAGCGCAAATTAGTTCAACCATTGTGGAAGACAGTGTGGCAATTCCTTAAGGATCTAGAATCAGAAATATCATTTGACCCAGCAATCCCATTACTGGGCACACCCAAAGGATTATAAATCATTCTACTACAAACACGCATGCACATATATGTTTATTGAAGCACTATTCACAATAGCAAAGACTTGGAACCAACCCAAATGCCCATCAATGATAGACTGGATAAAGAAAATGTGGCACATATACACCATGGAATACTACGCAACCACAAAAAGGAATGAGTTCACATCCTTTGCAGGGACATGGATGAAGCTGGAAACCACCATCTTCAGCAAACTAACACAAGAACAGAAAGCCAAACACCACATGTTCTCACTCATAAGTAGGAGTTGAACAATAAGAACACATGGACACAGGGAGGGGAACATCACACACCAGGGCCTTCCAGTGGGGTGGGGGACAAGGATAGGGAGGGCATTAGGACAAATACCTAATGCATGCAGGGCTTAAAACCTAGATGACAGGTTCATAGGTGCAGTGAACCACCATGGCGTATGTATACCTATGTAACAATCCTGCACATTCTGCACATGTATCCCAGAACTTAAAGTAAAATAATTTTAAAATAGATATTATGTGAAGAGTATCTTTTTAATAAATACTTTTCCTTTTAATAAATCATTTTTTGATTAAATTATTCCCAGAGTGTTTCATAGAAAAAAATCTAGGATACATTCCAATGAGTGAAGAGCAGTTATTGCTGACCCTAAAGGAAGAATTAGTGTTTTCTATGTTCTTTTCACTAGTCTGTTTTCTGATTTTTCTAATATGAGCATTAACTTTTTTTCAGACACAAGATCTCACTGTCTTCTAGGCTGAAGGGCAACTGGTCTGATTCTAGCTCACTGCAGCCTTGAACTCCTGGATTCAAGCCATCCTCCTGCCTCAGCCTCCCAAAGCACTGGCATTATAGGAGTGAGTGGTCATAAACAGACAGCATTAACATTTTAAAATAAAATATAATTTTTAAAAGGTAATTAAAACACATGTCAACTTGAGTTTTCATTAAACTTTCTGACCTATGACCTTATATTATAGATACACATTTATTATCAACACTAACATGCCTGTCTTAGTCCATTTGTGTCACCACAGAGGAATACCTGAGGCTGGGTAATTTGTAAAGAAAAGAAATTTATTTGGCTCACAGCTCTAGAGGGTGTACAAGAAGCATGGTGCCAGCATCTGCTCCTGGTGAGGGGTGCGGGCTTCAGGATTCTTCCACTCGTGGCAAAAGTCGAAGGGGAGCTAGCATGTGCAAACATCACATGATGAGAGAACAAGCAAGAAAGAGAAGGAGCCAGGCGCTTTACAATAACCCGTTCTCACTGGAACTAGGAGTGAGAACTCACTCACTCCTGTGAGAATGGCACCAATGCATTCAGGAGGGATCCACCCCCATGACTCAAACACCTCAGGCCACTCTCCACCTCCAACACTGGGGATCGAACTGCAACATAAGATTTAGAGGGGCCAAACAAACCATATCCACTCATGGCAATGCCAACAAAAGGAAAAAACATCTCAGTAAGTTTAATTCAAAATGAAAGAAAATCATATTGTAAAGGAAAGGAGGTACTCAAAAGCAAAGGGAAAATCTGGGAAAAGGTAATAGAGTAATTCTGTTTTTATTTATGGTTTTATTTATTTTTACAAATAGTTGATATGACTATATAATATTGACAGCGCTACAAAAATGTGAGATTACATGTGACTATTGATCTCACGGATGATAAAGCATACAAAATGTTGATTAACTGAAGCAGAAATCCACTGAGAAACATTTATAAGCATCAGTTATTCCATTAATAGATGTTGCCAAGTCAAAGTTGAACATCCACAGTGGGACACTCTTGATAAATTTTGTTTAATCTTCAAGAGGAGACAGAGAAATAGCCAAATATGTAGTAATAAAATCTGCTTAATCATTCTCCTATGATTCTTCTACGCCTGAGTTCATTTTATAGGAGACTTATCACATGCATGCTTACAGTCCTTCCCAATATACATATTCTCAAGGAACTAAAAAAAAAAAAAAATGAGAGAACCTTTATTAGATTGACAAACAAAAGTGGTACATACAGTCCTCCCCCATGGCCATCACCATACCCAACTCAAAATCTCACACTCTGATATATATCCTTTCACCACACAAAATCACATGTTAATAATCTGACCATGATAGACGTTGGTCTTTGGAAGGTAGTCACACAGTATCAGAAACATTCAGATGGAATACACACTTGTTCTGCACCTAAGCCTGGCCCAGCCCAGCTCAACATAGGCTTATGCTGCCCATCCCGGCTGCTAAGGCTTGGGGACCATCTGTGCAGCAGAGGGAATGAGGTTGTGGGTGATGCATCATAGAGCTATTCCAGCAGCAGATCCTGGAATGTAGGTAAGTGCATATGCTCACATAATATATGTGAATGTATATATACACAGGAGGTTAAAAAAAGAATCAATGTTCACATATATATTTAAGTAATGACTGTGTATACATACACACAAACATATTTATACACTCTGTGTGTAATGCATATATATCTTATTCCCCGAGATAGAGTCCCTTCTCTCATTCAGTTGAAATCTTATTGATAAAATAAGAAGCAGGACGTAAGAATAAAGGGACAAAATATTGTAGGGTGTTGAATGACAGTTGTTTTCAGAGGACTCTGTCATGATCAGAGGCATCGTCTCTTTAGTCAATGTGACTGAAAAGAGCATAGCCAGTGTGTCAGGCATGCTTCCTTTTGCCCAGAACTGAACTAACTGTTCATCAATAGCGTGGATTACAATAAGGGACACATCAAAATGGAAAAAAAAAGTGTGTTTGCTACTAAAAATGTTAAGATACAAAAATGAGTCACAATAATATCAAGAGCAAACAAGGATTTATATATACACATACATATACCACAGAGGTACATCTTTGCATATCTAATATGGACATGTAAACACACAACCATGTAATATTAAAGCTATATATGCATATTTTATATTATATATATAAATATACTTATGTAAACCTTATATACAGATTATGCCATTATTCGTATAAGTATATTAAATAGATCTAGCAGGACTATTATTGATATTCAAAGCTAAAAGAGCTCCTCCAAACCAGTTATATAATGGAGTTTCCTAATCTCAAATCTCCATTTCATGTTCTAGACTTGCCTGATTTAACTCTGAAACCAGCTGATTCTGAACTTGGTCCTACATTTATTTAACAGAAGTATTAGCTATTGTTAGTTCTATCACTCTTGGAAAAACAGAAATGAAATCTCCCATTTCCAGGAACTTCTGACCATCTCAGTTGTACTGTCCCCTGAAGACCCCAAGGTACGTGCACACAGAGGACAGTGGAGCAATGCATGACATTATCAGCTATCGCTTCAGCCCCAGATGCCTATTTTGTCTCCTGCTGCAGTGACAGGGTTGATCTGGGCCCACTGCTCCAGGCAGCAGGCCCTCCTGCTCCATGTTCCCTTCTGCCCATCCCACCCCTGTTACAAGTGACCATCCAAAGGGAGCTGCATCTTGTGGAGGTGCTGGGGCCATCTTTACAAGTTAGTGAGGGGAAACCAGGAGGCAGAAAAGAAGAAAGGAAAAAAGACAGAAGACACTGGCTAGGCCTCCCAGGAAGCGAATGAGCCCCTCAGCACAGCCTTCTGAAATGACGCTTTACTCACACGTGGCATCTGGTAGCCCCTGCTTAGAATGAAATCCTTAAAGGCAACTGTTCCATGAAGGTCTGCGAGTGACTCCTCCTAAGAGTGCCCACATTGAAAGAAAGGTCAGCCATTAGAAGTTGATTTCATATTTGTTCTCATCAAAAGTATGTAGCTCTTTATAAAGTATCTCATTTTAAACCATGTGCTTATTGTTTTTGAATATGTGTGCAATGTTCATGAGTTGATGAATAGGAAGGCTTTTAAAGATGTCCAACTTTCTCTCCTTCCCCTACCCTTTTCCTTATCTGTGTATTACGGATGGGCAACACATTTTAGCAATTAGACAATTACTGACCCATGATCTAACCTATTTAATATTAACAGTATGTCCACAATTCATAGATCTTAACTCCAAAGGACATGACAATAAAAAAGGATTTGATCAGTTGCAACATCTGCAATATTTATGCATACTTTTAGTTTTCTTTTACATTTATTTTAATTAAAAATTGGATGCGTAAGTTTACATAATTGCAATTCAGTACTTTAAGACCATTTTTACCTTCCAAACAAAATCTGTCAAGAACAGTCAAAACTCATGAGTTCCCAGAAAGACAGTCATGTTGTCATAATTACTGTCTCTTACCAGTACCCTAAAGTGCCTGTGTCATGTAAACTGGGGTGCCACAGCCTAGTGGTACCACCCATAGTAGATAAGGTACACCATTCCTCGGGTATTAAAGAGAGGTAATTTATAAAAATTATTGTAGAACAATTCTATTGTTATGAATCTTTCCTGTGTCTAAGCTTCCTGATAAACAATTTTTTACTATAAGAGTTATATCAATTATATTTCCAAAATTTAAATAATGCTACTTTATTAGCTCACTGTAACCATTTTGACAAATATCTTTACTAGCATTTGTCATCAAAATGAAATATGTTTTGTAAAACTTTTGAAGTCTTTAAGGATTAGTCATTAAGAATATGGTGTTTTGTTTTTTGAGATGGAGTCTTGCTCTGTCACCAACGTAGTGGCACGATCTTGGCTCACTGCAACCTCCACCTCCCAGGTTCAAGTGATTCTCCTGCCTCAGCCTCCCAAGTAGCTGAAACTACAGGTCCATGCCACCATGCCTGGCTAATTTTTGTATTTTTAGTAGAGATGGGGTTTCACCGTGTTGGCCAGGATGGTCTTGATCCCCTGACCTCGTAATCCGCCTGCCTCGGCCTCCCAAAGTGCTGGATTACACATATGAACCACCTTACCTGGCCAAGGATATGTTTTTAAAAAGAGAGCTCTAGACACAGTTTATAGCCATTTTTCATTTTAAATATTAAATTTGAGAAAATGGTGTTCTTTTTTATAATAAAGTGCAACTGGAATAGCTTTATGTTATATATTAAATTCACATAAACTTAGGCTCTCCAAAAACCATACTAAGAAATTTTGAGACTTATATAAACATTATAAACATGTGGTGCTCATTAATTTGTGTCATATCTCACACCGGAAAATAAGAATTTATATCCAGTACTGGAAAAGATTAAAATGACCATCCTTCCTGTCTTAGCTTTCCAATTTGAAGAAGACAATTGATGAGTGATTACTGATGAATAATAAGTCTAATTGATATTTTATTTGACTTTCTCAAAGTGTTTTCACATGTTATCTGGGAGAAGTTTGGGGTCTGTCAAAAAAGAGGTTCGCAAATATCCTCATTAGGATACTATGCAAGTGTTGCATCAACACTTCCAAATGTCCAGGGCTATAATGAGTATCTTCTTTCCATTAGATAATTTTACACGAGCAATGGGCAGGCACAGAGTTTGTCTGTAGTAAAATTAGAGCACATCCTTGTTGCGAGTGTTTGTTGCTTTGCAATATCAAACAGTGTTGAACGTTTGTCCCTTTCTTCTCAGACAGCTCCTGCAACTTGGATGAATTGCCTAAAAGAAATTTCCTGGTTGAAATTTTGAATATTTTTTTTTTTTTTTTTTTTTTTTTTGAGATGGAGTTTCGCTCTTGTTACCCAGGCTGGAGTGCAATGGCGCGATCTCGGCTCACCGCAACCTCCGCCTCCTGGGCTCAGGCAATTCTCCTGCCTCAGCCTCCTAAGTAGCTGGGATTACAGGCATGCACCACCACGCCCAGCTAGTTTTTTGTATTTTTAGTAGAGACGGGGTTTCACCATGTTGACCAGGATGGTCTCGATCTTTCGACCTCGTGATCCACCCGCCTCGGCCTCCCAAAGTGCTGGGATTACAGGCTTGAGCCACCGCGCCCGGCCGAAATTTTGAATATTTTTTGACATTCACCCACAGCTGATAGGAAATAAATTTCACATTTTGTTACCCAAAGAGAACTCATGATATCATATCTATTCTGAGCACTAAGGTGGTCCTACCAAGTCACACCACCCTTTGAACAATTATCCTTGGGATAAATTCTTCCAAGATGGTGGAATACCATGAGTAGCTGTCCAATCTTTAAAGATGTTGCGTCTACCATGAAGCCAGGAGATTCTAAGTTTTGCTTATTACACATTATGCATAATATGACTTGGCTTACTTCTTGCTGAATTCAATATGCAAGTTGTAGAGCTTTCAGGAGCCTTTGTATTATGCCACAGAGTCTGGTTCAGTATGAGGGTGGTGGACACACTGTGATCATCTTAAGCTCAGATGATCAAATCTTAGTGTAAATACATACCTGTTCCTGCAGCTCCTTTTTAAAATTTTCCTCTTGAGCTTTATGTGGGACCTCAGGGTCAACCAGAGGCTCGTTGGCTCTTTGCTTTTTCCACAACTTGGGGTTCAAATACCACGCTCTATACCTCATCTTCACCCACTTTGGCTTACAACATAATTCCCAGTGCCATTGATTTTTTGTTTGTTTGTCATTTCAATACATCTAAAGCTTAACTTAGGAAAACAAGATCATTACTTTGAATTTAGGTTGGTTCTTGCCAGAGTATTTTGTGAAGTTTCATCATGCTTTGATTTTACAAAGTAAACATTAAAGTTCATGATTTAAAAAATAATGCAGTGGTTAATAACATTGCCTTTGCATTTTGACAGACCAGGGTTCACATCCAGTTTTCCCCCAATTAGTAGGTGTGAGTCCATTATCAAATTACATAAACTCTTTATCTGTAAAATGTAGATAACAACAGTATATATCCCCACAGGGCTGCTGTGAAGATTAAAGGAGAGAATGTATGTACCGCAGCTAGAAATCACATATAAATCACATACTTCCCTCTAGAGTAAAGACCTTGAACAATACTCAGTCAACCAAAACAATCAGCTGTTAGACTTACCATGAGCCCAGCACAGTGCTCAGCCTTGCACATGCTACACTATTTTTTATCAAACTGCTAACAACAAGCTCTTGACTTAATTGGAAGAGAGAAAGAGGAGGATGAACCTATCTCATTCCCTTCTTTCCCCATTGTGTGCTTTATTGTAGCACACAGAGATGCAGGAAAGTATGACCCATAATCAGGAGATAAATCACCTAATGGAAACTGACACGGGACAGATGCAGATGTTAGAAACAGGAAACAACGACATCACAGCAATTGTTATAACTATGTTTCATATGTGCAAAAGGTGAAGTTGAGACATGGAAGATATAAATTAAAAAGACCTAAGTTAAACTTTTAGAGATGAAAATTATAGCATAAGAGATTTTTTAAAATACTAGATGGTATTTAACAGATTAGACATTGCAAGATAAAATTAGAGAATTTAAAGACATAGCCATAAAAACACAAAAAGAAAAGAGAATTTCAAAAGCTGACCAGAGAAGCAGTGAGCTGGAAAACAACTTCAAGCAGCCGAATTACAGGTAATTAGAGTTCTGGGAAGGGATTGAAAGACCAAAAAAAAAAAAAGTTTAAGGAAATATGGTCAACAATTTTCCAAATTTAATGAAAACTATAAACCCATGAATCCAAGAGGCTCAACAAGCCACACATACATGAAACATGAAGATATACCAAGGTTTATGATATTTGAAATATTCAAAACCAGTGACAAAGAGAACATATTAAAATCATCCAAAGAAAAAGCACATCCTGAAAAACAAAGATGAGGATGATGTAAGATTTCTCATCAAAACGGTACAACCAAGAAGACAGTAACACAATATCTTTAAAGTACCGAAATGTTTAAAACTGTGAATTAACTTTAAACTAGAATTCTTTTCCCACAAAATACAAACTTCCTCCTTATCCACGTTCTTGCTTTCTGCTTTTTCAGTTATCTGTGGTCAACCATGGTCTGAAGTATTAAATGGAAAATTCCAGAAATAATTCATAAGTTTTAAATTGTGTGCCATTCTCAGTAGCATGATGAAATCTCAAGCCATCCTTGTTCCATTCCTCTAGAGATATGATCATCTCTTTGTCCAGATCATCCACACCGTACACTCTACCCTCCCTAGTCACTGAGTAACTGCCTGTTACCAAATCAGAAAAACATAGCATATTTAGGAGATAGTACTATCCAAAGTTTCAGCATCCACTGAGGATCTTGGAACGTAACCACTACAGATAACAGGTAACAGGCAACTACTGAATCTTTTTAAATGAGGCAGAACAAGGTGTCTTCAGACACACAAAAGCTGAAAGAATCTATCACCAGCAGATCCACACTGGAAAAAATGTTAAAAGAGGTCTTCTAGTCAGAAGAAAAAAGACACTATGTGGAAATATATTTTCAACTTTTGTATAGTGACCGTCCATTTCCCAGTCAAAAGCTCAATTTTGGCAATATCTGCCATGGTTTGTAAAGCAGTGTTTACATAACTATTTCTAAATACTGGGAATTGAGCAATTTAATTCAGCCCAGATTCAGGACAAGCAGTGGTTCAGGCCTCGGGTGTGATGGATGTAATTTGCCTGTCTAATATCATTTTGCATTCTACCTTTTAGAAAGATGAAAGGAAAATGGGAAAATAAAAGTGCTGATATTCATGATGAAATGTGTAATTTTCATAAACCTTATGCAGCGGAGTCAAGGATAGAAACATCATGCATGTCAAAATAGATTGGCAAATGCGTTCAACTGTAAAGGACAAATTAATATGTCCCCAGTATTGGAAGTATAATATCAAAGATTATGTGTAAAAGGCAGAAGATAATTAGAAATGAAATATTGTTTTTCACTTTCAGGGAAGGGCTTTCCCCTCCAATTTAGGCACTTAAATCTGTTGCTGACTTGCACAATTTGACTTGTGTATGTATGTTTGCAGTGACATACTGTGTAGAAAAGTAAAAAAAGTACTTTAGGGGCCTGTAGTCCTTCCCTTTGGAACATGGCATGTTATTTCTCCTTTCTATCACCTTGTTCTTCCATCTTTATAGCAACTTTCTGCTGAGGAAACTTGTTAATCATTAGGCAAGCATGTGGTCAAGAATGATGGTTTGTGGTCAGTAAGACTCCAGCAAAAATTCAAGTATGCTTTAGGCATATATTAACAGTAATCGCAATAATTAATTGCAGAATTTTACTCTTGCATTCATGTATATTTCTACTGACTTTAGAATTTCAACATATAAAACACCTAACAAATTATCTCTGAAAATGACTAGTCAGATATTAAAAATAATCCCAAATGGCATGCCTTGTTTGTAGAACCAACTTTGTTATAGATATTAAACATGCATTTGTTTAACAAACATCAATCACGAAAAAAATCAAGAATTATACTTTACAAAGCCAGTACCCTTGACATACCAGAATTCAAGGACTTTAAGACTTCAAAACAATTTTCTTTGATTTTCAGTCTGGTTCCCTTCTGCAATTACCTGTGGTTTCTGGAGTTTCCTCTCGTATCCTGGTTTCTGGAAGGACTCTGGCTCCTGCAGTTTACTGAGCCCCACACTATGCTTTAGCTCCAGAGGAACCTGATTTAGCCTCACCATGTGGAGCTCATCATGGCTTGGTTTGGTCTGATAGTCAACGTCAAACTGCTTCAAGATGAACTCTTCATTAACGGCCGAACTTCCCTGGAAGAGTTTCACACTGCATGAATTGAGGGCCATCAGTGAAATGCTCCTTGCTTTCTTCTTTAATCTAAGGGAGGTAGTTGGCCATTACTGGGGAAAGAGGTAGTTTGAGGAGAGGTGGGAAATGCTTAGTCAGCATTCATTGAAGACAAGAAGTGTTTGGGGTCTGGAGGGCTTTGTCATTAAGAGACAGCTTAGGACTTTGCAGGAGTCCTAAGTGAGGGAAATCATGAGCCTGAGGGAAATTCAGTTTGATCAACAGCAAACTTCTCCAGCACTTTATAGCGGTGGCATCCCTAGAAAGATTTTCCAGACTTGTGTAGATACAGCAGTATTTTCTCTGCTGATAACTCTGAACAAGGGAAGCTGCCGGGTTCACAGCTCCTACTGAAGGAGTGGTTTAAGCCAGCCGCATTCTGTACACAGAAAAACTTTCACCATTTCCTTCCCTCAGCCACAGCCGATGGGAGTAGAGATGGTCACATCAAGAGCAGCTAATCTGTATGCTGAGCGTTTACCAATGATATGGCTCAAGGCTGATAGAGCTTAGACTCAGTAGAATCTCACACTGAAAAATAGAAACTGGGAAACACAGAGAGAGTGGTCATCAGCAGCTGGCGTGTTTGGAGTAAAATTTAGAGAGAAGTCATGAAACAGAGACAGAGACATAAAGGGACAAGTACAGTCAAAGTGAGGCTAAAGTAATAATGGAGCAGAAATAAAGCACGCAGAATCAGTGAGGTGAAAAATAAACAAACAGCATGGAAGGAAAAGCGCAAGCTAGTGCTGTGAAGAAAAGACCACCGAGTGAGGGGGCAGGGGCCTAGCTTGTGGAATGACAGTGAAGAGTCAGGGAGCTTTGTCACGGGGTCTAAAACCAAAGGCAGTTACCAGAGAATCTACGCTCTTACTCCAAGGTCCCTTAAGTTTCCTGCCATGGAAAAGGAATCATCTCCAGCAGCAGGAATGGGAGAAGTGGACGCTGGAAATCAGGCAATCCAGTCTGAACAGATGATGGACAAGCAGTGGTTTGGATACCAGGCATAGTGGGTGCCATCTGCCTCATCCAGCATCCCTGCTCCAATCACCCTCTGAGGAGTCTCTGTTCCTCACTCTCACTCTGTTGCAGTGGGCTGGACAGCGCCTCTCTTGGCTTCAGGGTTAGGTGTATGTCCTGGCCTAGCCAATAAGCATATTCCATCATCTTAATCATAATGGTTAATTCAAGCACAAGCATGTGCCCCAAGTTAGTCCAGTGAGAGTAATCCTTGGATGGAAAAGCATTGCTCTCTTCATTCTTAGGTTGCTTGCTAGTAGGATATAAGCTCGGAAATTTTAGTGGCTACTTTTGTCATTTCTTGGGGAAATACTGATTGAGAATGAAATCCAAGTTGCACAGCCAAGAGATAGGAATACCTTAAAATATTTCAGCACTTGGATCCAGCTGTGCCTGAAGTTCCTACTATATCTGGATGCTTCCCTTTTCTCTTTCAAACCAATCTGAATCGTATTTCAGTCACTTGCTAATGAGGTAAGTGTCTTGATATTTAAAAGTACTAAAAAATACACTGACTAAAACTAACACTCAAAAGATGGGGTGGGGGCGTGGAATGCAAATCCTAGAGACCTTAAATCCAAGAAAAGCATCAGGTATTTAGATATCCACAGAGACTCTGGAACAGGAATAAGGAACTATATAGGTTCTTGGAAGGAGCACAAGGGAAGACTTTGCTATGAGTCAAAAGTCTCTTCATGTCAGATTTTTTTTTTTTTTTGAGACAGGGTCTTGCTTTGCTGCCCATGCTGGAGTGCAGTGGCATGATGACAGCTCATTGCAGCCTCGATTTCCCAGGCTCAAGCAATCGTCCCACCTCAGCCTCATGTGTGGGAGGGGCATGCCACCACACCTAGCTAATTTTTATGTTTTATACAAAAATACAAGGTTTTGCCGTATTGTCCAGTCTGGTCTTGAACTCCTGAACTCAAGCAATCCATCCTCCTCAGCCTCCCAAAGGGCTGGGATTACAGGTGTGAGCCCCTGCACCTGGCATGTTAGAACATTTTAAGATTATAGTCAAGGATCCCTGCCCAAGTACTCTTAGACAAATATAAGTAGAATAATGAGTTGAAGGAGTAAAAGAAAAGAAAGCCCTGACATTAAAATGGAAAAATGAAAATATGAAGCAATTGCAATGATGTGAGATATAAACATAAATGGTCAAATTAGACACAAGCTTGCAAACTTTCCAGAAATTTCATCTACCAGAAATATTTCTATTTATAAATGACAGAAGACAATGGTTCCTTTATGACTTTGGCAATTTGATTTTGATTTTATCCAATACTGTTTTTTAATAAAAGCAACTTTGAGCTTGTAATTTAAAAGTAGGTTTAAGTATTACTATTAACTTACAAAAGCAGTAACCCAGCTGCAGAAGTCACTAACTGCTTTGCGTACATTTTCATGAAGACGAAGACTATTTTCATGGGGCAAATCCATTTTATGTGGATTTTCTTCATAAAGCCATTGCCCTGAATTTGACACAGAAGTCTTCTTGGAACTAAAGATAGTAAGATCATTAAATAATTACAATATGAGACACAATGAATTCAAATGGATTTCAAACGGTTTTGGAGGCAAAAGAAGATCATAAAGCATTTCTAACAGTCTCTTGCAAGCTCACATACAAATTATATTTTAATTTTTCAAAGATCACATTCTCATTACCAATATCATAATGACTAGTATATCATGATTAGTTATAATAATTAAAACTTACATATCATTTTACCATTATACATTGATTTTTAAAATTTTGAGTACCACTTACTAAAACACATACTGGGTAGAAGTCCAAATTACTGTGCTTGAAGTCTACCAAAACCTCAGGCAACCTTGACAAGTAGGAGTCATCCTTGATTTATCTATCATTTCCAAAATCCAGCCCGGTTACAGTCTGGCAGATTTTTAACTCTGTCTCCTTCTCTGGACTGCTCAAAACGCTCTTTGCTAGTGTCTCTGCATCATCAACTCCCATGCCGCCCCTCAACCTCCAAACCCAAATCCATTCCCTATACTGCAGCCCCAGCAGTCATTTCAAAATGCAGCTCTGGACATGTCAAATGCATTCACCCTTCATCGCCACCAACAGCTTCTTCATAAAAATTGAGATATAATTCATCCACCATGAAGTTCATAAAATTTAGCACTTCAAAAGTGTATGAAAGAGTATCCTTTATTTATTCACAAAGTTGTGCAACCATCACCACTATCTTATTCCAGAACATTTTTATTTCCCCAAAAGAAACCCAGTAGCCATTGGTAATCACTCACCATTTCCCCATTTCCCTCACTCCTGGCAACAACTAACTTACTTATCTGTCTCTATAGATTTGTCTATTCTGGGCATTTCATCTGAATGAAATCGTGCAATATGTAGTCTTTTGTGTCTGGCTTTTCTCACCTAGCATAATGTTTTCAAGGCTCATCCATGTTGTAGCATGCATTAGTCATTTATTCCTTTTTATGGCCAATATTCTGTTGTCCAAATAGACTATTTTTTGTTTATCCATTCTCACAAACATAGTCAGTTGATGGACATTTGGGTTGTTGCCACTTCATGCTTGTTAGGGACAATCCTGCTATGGACACAAGCTTTTGTGTTCAACAGCCTCTTGCTTATTCTCCAATAAGGACTTAAATCTTGACACAACCTCCAAGGCTCTGCATGGCCTGGCTCTCCAGGTTCTTTGGGATTTACCACCCTTTCTCACTCTCTGAGCTCCAGCCAATGTGGTCTCCTCTCCGTTCTGTGAACTCATGCTACTCCCAGCCATTGGGCCCTTGCTTGAGCTGTTCCACCTGACTGTAATCCTGTCACCATTTCCTCATCCCTTTCATGTCTCAACATACATGTGTCTTCCTCAGTGAGGCATCCCCACTGGCTGTCCCCTGGGCCTACTTTTTATTCATAGCCCCTGTACCTTTTATTCATAGCACTCATATATTAACTTGTCCATCCATTCATTCAACAAATATTCAGTAAGCACTGACTATGTGCCAGTCATTAGAATTGAACTATAAATAAAGTTAAGCCCCTGTCCTCATAGAGTATACAACTGTATAGGAGAGACAGTTAGCAAACAAACATATTCCAGGTGATTATAAGTGATATAGAGAAAATAAAATAGGACAGGAGGGATGGAGAGTGATGGTAGGGAGTATTTTATTTGTACAGATAAGGTGTCTCTAGTAAAGTAATATTTGATCAAAGACCTCAAAGAAGAAAGGAATCAAACCATGCACATTTCAAGTTATGCAGACAACAGACAGAAAAGAATGGCATGTGCAAAGAACCTGAGCTGGGAGTGTGCCGAGCATGTTCAGAGAACAACGAAGTCCCACGGAGAGGAGTAACTAAAGAGTAGGATAGCAGAAGCTGAGGCTTGAGCAGTGACAGGGACCTAATCATATAGTACTTTAAAGGCAGTTGTAAGGACTTTGGATTTTGCTATTTTATTCAGAAAAATAAGCAATTGGAGAATCTCAAGCACAGGAGTAACATTATACTTAAGTTTTTTAAAGGATCATATCAGCTACTGTGGGACAAATAGACTTAAGAGAGGGGGTCTTGGGTGGAGGCCATGAGACCAGTTAGTAAGCTATTGCAATAATCCAGGCAAGAGATGATGGAATCTTGGAAAAGACTGGTGTGGAAAAGGTGAGATTCTGGATACATTTCGAAAGTAAAGCCACTACCATTTGCTGGCAGACTGCAGCTATTGTTCCAGAAAAAAACTGGAAAGATGGGGTTGCTATTCACTGAACTGGGGGAGACAAAAGGAGGAATAAGTCTGGGGGAGAAACCAGGAGATCTGTTTTGGGTTTGTGTGGTCTGAGACGCCAGTTAAACATCCAAGGACAAATACTGAATTATCCATATACAGATGAACCAGAGGAGGTCACTTGCTTGTGGGTAAATGTGCTGAAAAGACGTCCAAGACCAAAGTACTTCAACACTGAAAGGTGAAGGTGAAGAGGGACCAGTAAAAGATGGCTACGGAGAGGTCCGTCAAAGAGGACGTTCCAGAAGCCAAGTAAAGAAAGTGTTATGAGAAAGAGGACATGATCAATTATGTCAATTGCTACTATGTATACATCAAGTAGGGTGATCCCTGAGAGCTGATTTAGTAACATAGAAGTCAACGGTGACCTTGACCAAGGTCAGGTTCAATGGAGTGCTGGAGATAAGAGCCCTGATTGCTGTTCAGAGAGAAAAACCAAAAACTTTGCTATAAAGGAAAGGAGAGATTATATGGTGAGGGGGAGTTGGCATCGCTTGCATCCTGCCAGCACTTGGATGTGATCATCAACCTGGAGGTTCATCAAATTATCTGCTCAAGAATTTTTAATCTCCAGCCATGCCTCCCGCCGTCCCCTCTGAGCAGTCACGGAGTGGGACTGAGCATTCTAACCCTCTAATCACTTGGTCTTTCTGGTAACCAGTCACATTCTAAGACAATCTGGGGGCCCCAACCTGAATGCATCATTAGCATAAATTCTGCAGTGACTAAAAGGGGCTCATTATGAATAACAAAAAGCTTCCCTGTCACTCCGGAAATCCCAAGGTTTTTAGGAGCCCTGTGTCAGCAACAGGGGACAAAGACCAAATATATTTATTATATCAGATTCCTACAAATAACACTCCTCTCGCTCCCCCACCCAAGTTCTAAGCAACTTGAAAAATGGTACAGAGAGCAAAGACAAAAGCCAAACTATCCCCTTCTCTGCTAACAGCAGCCCTGATAGACGACATGGCTTAGGTCCAAGAGGACCCAGAAATTGGCAGACCCTTCCACCCAGTCCCCTGCAGGGCTGGACCAGGGCAGTCTAGAAGGGGGAAGCAAGAAGCAATGGTGCTTCCCACGGGCCATCTTGCTACTCATGAAAGAAAGGCAGAACTGAGACCAGCATGCCCAGTTACCCTTCCTACATTTACTAGGAGATGGACTGAAATATCATAAGAGTAGAGTTCCTCTCAACTTGTGTGTTACCCTAACAAACATGCATAATGTAATGCAGTGAATTCTCTCTAGATCCACCTCCATGCAGGTAATATGTGTGAACAATCAGGCTCTACATGGCCCCCACCAAACACCCTGACCATGGTCCATACCCCTCAAAGTGTCTGGGTGCTGTGGACAGGCTGCTCTCTAGTTCACCACACTCTTCAGCACCCATCAGTGAGGTCTTTAATTTCAAAAGTCAAATGTAGTCCGGGCATGGTGGCTCATGCCTATAATCTCCACACTTTGGGAGGCAGAGGTAGACGGATCACTTGAGGCCAGGAATTCAAGACTAGCCTGGCCAACATGGCAAAACTCTGTCTCTACCAAAAATACAAAGATTAGCCAGGCGTGGTGGTGGGTGCCTATAGTCCCAGTTACTTGGGAGGCTGAGGCACGAGAATCGCTGGAACCCAAGAGGCAGAGGTTGCAGAGGTCACAGTAAGCCAAGATTGTGCCACTGCTCTTCCAGACTGGGTGACAGAGAGAGACTGTCTCAAAAACAAACAAACAAGAAAGCATATGTATCCCAAATCTATTTGTGTCCAGAATACTTATCACTGCATTTATGTTATTTAATTAAATATTATATTGAGCAGGGAATCAAAAAAGTGTTCTGAAAGGGAGGTGCTTTCATTAAGCGCAATGCTTTGAAAAGGGTCAATGAAAGTAGTATTACAGGTATGAGTTATGCAAAAAAGATGGGTGGAAACTCCAAGCAGTGGACCTATACTCAGAAAAAAGGCTTAGGTCAGGCATGGTGGTGCACAGCTGAAGTCCCAGCTCCTCAGGAGGCTGAGGCAGAAGGATCATTTGAGTCCAGGAACTCAAGGCTGCAGTGAGTTGTAATCTCTTCACTGCCCTCCAGCCTTAACATTTCTTGGGGCACAAAGGATGACACCCCAAAAAGTATGGTGCTTTGGCATGTGGAGCACTTTTGAATTAAAGGAAATTGGAAAGCCTTAGAAGCTGCCCCCAAACCAAGAATTTTCTAACCTTTACTGTTAGAAAATCATAACATAGGGAGCATAGGGAGGGACTCTCCCTCTGGAATTTCCTTATAGACACCTGTGTCTGCATCGTTGCTGGATAAATCGTGTCTATTGAAGAAATAAGCACTATTCACAGCAGTACCTAGGACTCCTTTCCCTCTTCCTTGGGAACTTAGTTACATTTGCTTTCTTAGAATTATTCTAAAGATGAGAAGCTTTAAGAAGTTAATTCCTAGAATGTTTCATCGGGTGACTGCAATGATCGAGGGCTTAATAACAATACTCACGGTCCCAGGTAGACTTGGGTAGAACATTGTTTTAAAAGCTTTGTGGGTTCCTTTATTCCCTTCCTGGCATCCTGACAATAAGCCCATGTGTCCTCCAGCTTCTGGTCAGGATCAAGCACTTCCAGCACCCTTAGTAAGAGCTGCAAACAGAAAATAGTCTTATAGGCAAAGAAAAACATGCTGAAGAAGGGAGTACCCATTCTACAACAAAACAGACCAACTTGCCCTTCATTTTCCTTTTCAAATCCATCAGTGCTGTTCACCAACTTCTGTGCCAAGCATCATGCTGAGTGCTATGGATAGATTTGGACCATAGTCCCAAAAGACACAATCCCAAATGTTAAAATCCTGAAAGATCATAATCCCTAAATTCTAAAATCCTCAAAATCACAATCCCAAAGATTAAAATCCAAAAACTATAATTCTGGAAAAAAATATTACAAAAATTATTTTAAAGACACTTAAATTTTTAAGTGGAGATTTATTTGAGAAACATAAAAATGAGAGAATACTTCACAGCCACTATACACAATGAACTAGGCAACAATAATATGCATTTTTTTTTTTGAGACGGAGTTTCGCTCTTGTTACCCAGGCTAGAGTGCAATGGCGCGATCTTGGCTCACCGCAACCTCCGCCTCCTGGGCTCAGGCAATTCTCCTGCCTCAGCCTCCTGAGTAGCTGGGATTACAGGCACGTGCCACCATGCCCAGCTAATTTTTTTTGTATTTTTAGTAGAGATGGGGTTTCACCATGTTGACCAGGATGGTCTCTGACCTTGTGATCCACCCGCCTCGGCCTCCCAAAGTGCTGGGATTACAGGCTTGAGCCACCGCACCCAACAATATACATATTTTTATAAGCATAAACACTCAGGTATACTAGCAAAAGTCACACGGGTATAATATGAGCAGGCAAACCATATTCATAAAGAAATAGCTCAAAAAGTGAAATGTATAAACGCATATCATTATGGTTGGCAATTGTGTGCACTCTGCTTCATAATTTTAGTCATCTGAAATACAGTGATGGACAACCTAAGCCTTTTGACAAAATCAATCAAAAAGCATTACGGGGCCGGGTGCAGTGGCTAAGGTATGTAATCTCAGTGGTTTGGGAATCTGACGCAGGAAGATGGCATGAGGCCAGGAGTTTGAGACCAGCCTGGGCAACATAACAAGACTCCTATCTCTATAAAAAATTAAATTAAAAAAAAAAAAAAAAAAAAAAGCCAGGCACGGTGGTGCACTCCTGTAGTTCTAGATGCTTAAGAGGCTGAAGAGAAGTTGAGCCCAGGAGTTTGAGGTAACGGTGAACTATAATTGCACCACTGCACTCCAGCTTAGGTGACAGAATGAGAGATAGATTATGGAAAATTACACAGAGGTAGTCCATAAGAACTGGCAGGCATTCACAATCACTAGCTATATTTTGAAGTCTTGCATCACAATAAAGAGTTGCTTTTTTTCTTTTAGGGCTCTCCTTGGAGAATACGTTCATATTCATTTTTTACATGGCACTGCTCTTTTTAAAATTCTTCTGTGATTCAATATACACTCACATGTACTCATATACAAACCCCAAAGTTGGCAGAAACAATACTGCTGATCCAACAGCAACACCATCTTCTTATCTTACTTATCCTATAGTTGTTTTTTTTTTTTTTTTTGGTTTTTTTTTTTTTTTTTTTTGGTTTTTCTTTTTTTTTGGTTTTTTTTTGAGACGGAGTTTCACTCTTGTTACCCAGGCTGGAGTGCAATGGCACGATCTCGGCTCACTGCAACCTCCGCCTCCTGGGTTCAGGCAATTCTCCTGCCTCAGCCTCCTGAGTAGCTGGGATTACAGGCATGTGCCACCATGCCCAGCTGATTTTTTGTATTTTTAGTAGAGACGGGGTTTCACCATGTTGACCAGGACGGTCTCGATCTCTCGACCTCGTGATCCACCCGCCTTGGCCTCCCAAAGTGCTGGGATTACAGGCTTGAGCCACCACGCCCGGCCACCCTATAGTTATTTTTTAACCAATTAGTAACATCACTGATCTCTTCAGGCAAATACAGCTTTAATTTATTAACACCTCCTGGAATTTCAGCAGCTGTAAGGAATGCCAATGCAAACAAATGACGCTTTTTTTCATGTTTATTTTCTTCCTTCAAAAAAAAACTTTTTATCTTTTAAATTTTTATTATAGATTTGGGGGTACATGTATAGGTATATTATATGGATATGTTGTGTAATACTTGGGATTTGGATTTCTAGTGAACCCAGCACCCAAATAGTGAACGTAGTACCCCGTAGGTAGTTTTTCAATCCTCAACACCCTCCCAGCGCCCCCTTTTGGAAGCCCCAGTGTCTATTATCTCCATTTATGACCATGTATACCCACTGTTAAGCTCCCACTTATAAGTGAGAACACATGGTATTTGATTTCCTGATTCTGAGTTATTTCACTTAGGATAATGGCCATCCATCCATCTTGTTACAATAGGTATGATTTCATTCTTTTTATGGCTGCATAATATTTTGTGGTATATACATACCAAATTTTCTGTATCCATTCCATCATTGATGGACACTTAGGTTGATTTCATGACTTAGCTATTGTGATAAAGTTGTGATAAACATGAGTGAAGGTGTCTTTTTGATAAAACTATTTTCCTTTGGGTAGATGCAGAACTGTTAGGTTGAATGGTAGTTCTAGTTTTAGTTCTTTAAGAAATCTCCATCCTGTTTTCCATAGAGTTTGAGCTAACCTACATTCCCAACAACAGTGTATAAGCATGTTCTTTTCTCTGCATCCTTGTCAATATCTGTGATTTTTTTTATTTCAATAATAGCCATTCTGACTGATATGAGATGATATCTCATTGTGGTTTTAATCTGCTTTTCCCTGATGATTAGTGATGTTGAGCATTTTTTCATAAGTTTGTTGGCTGCTTGTGTGTCTTCTTTTGAGAAGTGGCTGTTCATGTCCTTTGTACATGCTTTATTTTTTTTTCTTTTTCTTTCTTTCTTTTTTTTTTTTTTTTTTTTTTGAGACAAGGTTTCACACTCTGTCACCCAGTGTGAAGAGCTGTGGTGCAATCATGGCTCACTGAGGCCTCAACCTCCCAGGGAGACCTCCTGGCTTTGCCTACTTTTTAATGGAGGTGGTTTTTTTTTTTTCTTGTTAAATTGTTTAAGTTCCTTATAGATTCTAGACATTAGTCCTTTGTCACATGTATAGTTTGCAAATATTTTCTCCCATTCTGTAGGGTGTCTGTTTACTCTGTTGATAGTTTCTTTTGCAGTTTAGAGTTCTTTAGCTTAATTTTCATTTATCTGTTTTTGTTTTTGTTGCATTTGCTTTTGAGGTTGTAGTCATAAATTATTTGCCTCAGCCAATATCCAGAAGAGTTTTTTGTAGGTTTTCTGCTAGAATTTGTATAGTGTCAGGTCTTACATTTAAGTCTTTAGTCCATCATGAGTTAATTTTTTTATATGGTGAAAGGTTGGGACATAGTTTCACTCTTCTGCATATGGCTAGCCAGTTTTCCCAGAACCATTTGTTGAATAGGGTGTCCTTTTTCCATTGTTTATTTTTGTCAATTTTGTCAGAGATCAGCTAGCTGTAGGTGTGTGGCTTTATTTTTGGGTTTTCTATTCTGCTCCATTAATCTATGGGCATATTTTTGTACCCATACCATGCTGTTTTGGTTACTGTAGTCTTGCAGTATAGTTTGAAGTTGGATAACATAATGGCCCCCAACTTTGTTCTTTTTGCTTAGGATTACTTGGGCTAATCAGGCGCTTTTTTGATTCTGTATAAATTTTAGAATTGTTTTTTCTAATTATTTGAAAAATGATGTTGGTAATTTGATAGGAATAGCACTGAATCTGTAGATTACTTCGGATAGTATGGTCATTTTAACAATATCGATTTTTCCTGTACATGAACATGGAATATTTTTCTATTTGTTAGCATCATTTATGATTTCTTTCATCAGTGTTTTGTAGTTCCCTTGCGGAGGTCTTTCTCTTCCTTCGTTAAATGTATTTCTAGGTATTTTAGTTTTTTGTGGCAATTGTAAACACTATTGAGTTCTTGATTTGGTGATCAGCTTCAGCGTTGATAATGTATAGAGACACAGCTGATTTTTTAACACAATTTTGTATCCTCAATCTTTACTGAAGTCATCTAGGAGTCTTTTGGATGAATCTTTAGTTTTCTGGGTGTAGGATCATGAAATGATTCATTTTTAAACTGAAGTTTCTCTCATTGCCATATCACACAGTCAATCCATTCATCTGAATTTCTGCCATGTGTGTTGGACTACATGAAAAAAAAAAACCTCATTGGTAACTCAAGTTCACTTTTAGAAGCTTTAATTACACTTAATTCCAAACCTGTCATTTTGGTTTGGGGATTCAAAGAAATCTATTTTCTTCTGCGCAGTCCACCAAATCCTCAAACAAGTGATTATAAAGTACTTCACTTGTTTCTAGTCATTAATATATAAAGAAGCAGATCAGGTTTAGAATTTCCAGATCCAACAGGGGCATGAATTATATATCAATGATTTTAAGAAGTGGGGACAGTCTTGAAAGTGCCATCCAATAGCCAAAGTGAAACTAGTTTTTCTATGTTAGATTTAGTGGTAAATATAAGAAGTCTGTCTTTCTTAATGGTCAAATCTTTAACCAAGAAGAGTTCACCATTTTATGTGGCTATAACACTGGAGGAATCTCGGTATCAGCAAATGACAAGGTCGCTGAGCTTGCCAAATTCTTGTAATTCTCTCACAAAGGGTGTCACATGCTTGAAGGCAAGCATTGTGTTATATGTGAAGGGGCAGAACTTGTACACAATTGAATAATTTGGCAGAGGAGATCTCATGGTTTTCATCTGCATTTTCAGTTATTCTATGATCTCTGAAGTACTGAAACACTGACGGCAGATCTTCCTGACCCGCTTCACTCAGACTCACACACTAATCTCCTCTGGAGACCTCCTCACAGACACATCCAAAATAATGCTTTACCACATTTCTATGAATTCTTTAATGCAGTCAAACTGACACCTAAAATCAAGACCAGAAGTCCACCCCTTGTCAGGTTGGCGCTCATACTCATCGCCTTAAATCATATTTAATTTCCAAATAATGACAATAGCAAAGTAGTAGATCCAGCCACCATGGTGCAACTATCCTGCATATAACCAAAACCACACTAATCCCGTCCCCAAAATTTGGCTTTCAGGATTTCAATATTCAGGAATTTAATCTTTCAGGATTGTGATTTGTGGGATTTTAGACTTTGCAGAGCTCAACATTCACAATTACGGTGTTTGGGACTATGTCTTTTGGGATTATAATCAGTACCACTTGGACAAACCTCTCATCACCTGGACACTGGCTATACTGCCTTTTACTAAAATTCTACTTCCTCTGGAATGGAATATGTCCATTCTAGAGGAGGCCTAGTCCCCAAACACCCACTGAGCGAAGCGCCTCTAAAGGATTTCTGTGGTTTTTGACTGCCCAGTATCTACTTTCCCTCTCATTAATATCTGGATTTTGCCTTGGAGAACCCTTTCTCTCCACTCTCAACATGTATGGTCTAAATTAGCCTGACCCCATCCTCACTCCTCAGGCAGACCAGATCATCAGAACCACAGGGACTGACTTTGGAATAGGTACATGATCAACGTTGGACCCATGAAAATTAGGCTACGGAATTTTTCTGGGATCATGCAAAAAAAACGTGTTCTCTTTCTGTTGGAGTTGCTAAGTGGGTAGAGCTTAAACCTGGATCTTCTCGTGGCCACCTTAGCACCATAAAAGAACCTGCCTCAGCAGGAAGCCAACACACCTATTTGGGGAGGTCACACATAAAAATAAGCGCCACAATCCCAAGCCAAGCCCATGTGCCATCTGAGGTGTATGAAAACAATCTCTCTGTCATGGACTCAGAAGCTCTGGCCTACAGGAGGCAGTGAAGGAAAGACCCAGAGCGTAATTAACTGCTAGCGATCCCAGCTGTCCTTTCTGTAGACTTCTCTGCCACTGATCATTTATTTATTCTTTCATTCAAAATTATTTATTGTGTGTCCACCATAGGACAGGGATTGGTGGTACATAGTGAAAAACACCAAGGCCCTGCTCTTGTAAGCTTTTACTGTAGGAGGAGCACAGTGGCGGTAAGTGCTACAGTGAAAAATAGGGCATAGTGAGGAGTAGCGTGTGAGGGTGGAAGGGAAGTGCTATTATATACAGGCCTCTCCAATCAGAAGCCATTTGAGCATTGATCTGAAGGAAGTGAAGGAGTCAGCCAAGCAGCCATCTAGAGCAAGTGTTCCAGGCACCAGAACGGAGAGCTGAACTGGACATGCTGATAATGTCCATGGAGCAGCCAGGAGGCCAGAGTGGTCGGAGTGGCAGGAGTGAGGGCAGAGGAGCAGGAGTGTAGTTGCAGAAGGAGCAGAACAGGGGTACTGCGGAGAGCAGAACGCCAGGGCTGTTCAGACCCCGGCAACAACTCCGGCTTTCTCTGAGTGAGAAGGGGCACTGGAAGGCCCTGAGTAGAGATTCGCCTTTCTGAATCACCGTCTTTCTCTCTGTGTAGAATACAGGCTGCAGGGATGGGGATGGGGTTGCAGTCACTGCTAGCTCCCTGCCCAAAATCCACTCTGCCTTTCTTCCTTAAACCTGATAGAGCCTGGGTTTTGCTCAGGTTCAGTGCCCAACTCTGAAACTCAATTTGCTAGATTCCCTAACAACTAGGAATAGTCAGATGAAAGAGATGTTTACCAGGAAAGTGTAGGGAGCCAGAGTAGCCCACCCGCTCTGGGGCGGATCAGCAGCAAGGCTGCTGTGAAATTTGGTTGAACTTCAGGGAAGTGAAACTACAGTAGGAGAACGTGTGTGCCTCGGAGAAGAACAAATGGGCTTAGAGAGAGATAACCAGCTTTCTCTGACCTTGCTGTGAGGTAGTTTCTAGCTGAAGTATGTTAACTGAAGTACGAGAATAATATCCACAGGCTGTTCCAAGTAACTGCACCCTCCTTCTGCTACGTGCTTTGTAAACATATAAAGTACACTGAGGCAGGTCAGGGCTGAAGAGACTGACATCCTCACCTCTCTGACCCCCTGGCCCAGCTTTCTCTCTGTCTGTGTCTGTGTCTTTCCTTATCCCTCACCGTTCCCTCTTAGGTCTTTGAATCCTTGTGCAGCTCGGGACGCAGAACACGCCAGAGGAAAGCTATTGTTTGCCTAATTAAAAGACAGTCAGCTGGCCTGCACCTTTTAGCCTTTGTCCCTTCCCTCTTCTTGTCTGAAATACAGACTCAGTGCCTGGAAGCATGGAAGCCACTTTGAGATACAAGGATAAGAGATGCATACTAAGGATATGGAGCTAAAACTCGGGAGAGGCCTGGGACATTGGTGACATCACAGAGCTGCTGCTGTCCAGCCCTGGCCTGGACCATTAGGTGGATTTCCCCCACGTCCTTTCTGGTCTCATTCTTTCCACCTGTAAATAAGCATTGAAGGGCACCTCCTAATACCAGGCTAAGGAGACAAAAATAAGACTAGACAATTCCCTCTCATTGTTTCCACCCCCCGAAAAGTCACAACACAAAGTACAGTAGACGGGTAGAAACGATGGCGAACAGAAGTCATATGTTTCTGGTTTGTGGCACCTTTGTATGTTGAAGGGCTCCACAGGAAGCAAAGAGAGCAGAGTGCACGTTGCTGCGGGTTGTGCTTTCTGGGAGCAGAGGACAGAAAGCTGCTCTGAGGCCCACAAGAACTCACACTCTGGGGGAGACTTTCATTGTTCCTCTTATAAATGTCACCCTCTCATGGGGACTCCCTAGACATTTAGATAGAATTATTTGCAAGGCCCCAGTGAAGCCCCTCCCACAAACCTCAGGACAGATCACCTCTGTGGGCATAGCTTCTTCCAGATTTGGGTGGAGCGCCAAGGGATGTGGGGTCAGGCGGGCCTCCACATCCTCCAGGAATGCCGTCCGAGCCGGCTGGGCTGGCGAGAGCTTGGAAAGCAGGTCTGCTTCCTTGGGCAGCTTGATCTGCCTCTTCTTTGGGTCCAGCTGGGGAGCTCTGTGATAAATCCAGGGCAGAAAGCCCTCCTCAGAGACCTGAGTGGCCAGACCGGTGCAAGGGGGGCAGCCCTTCTTGAAGTCCTCCGGCCCCTTTCTTAGAAATACCCACTGCCGGCTGTTCAGGGAGGTGGGGAACTTCAGCCCATTCTTGTGCTGCTTTGTGAAACTCCTGCAAGGTAGATTCTCTTTGTGCCTAGAAGACAAGCATGCGTGTTCGTATTGACCACAGGACTTGGGTGGGAGAAGGAGGTTGCACAAAGGCTGGTCTCCAGCTTTTGGGGTGAGGGATAGGGGAAGAAAGAGTTAATCATATTCCTAGTTCACAGCTAACAAGCTTACCACTCTGCATTTTGTTAGGTTCAGGAAAAATCTTGCTTGGCCCACAAAATAAAACTGAAAACAACTTTTTCTAAATATTTACTGTTTTCCCAGACACTAGTACATGGTATGTGGATATTTCCCTCTTCAAGATTTGCAAAAGAATATTGGACATGTAGCCTAAAGAAATGAAAAAATATGTTCTTATAAAGTTCTGTACATAAATGTTGATAACAGCTCTCTACATAATAGCCCCAAAACTGGAATGTCCAAAACATGAATGTCCTTCAACAACAAACAAACTGTGGTACATCCACAGCAAGGAACACTACCCAGCAACGAAAATGAGCTACTGATACAGACAACTTGGATGGATCTCAGGGGTTTGACGATGAGTGAAAAAGAGCCAGTCTCAAACAGTTATAAACTGCGTTATTCTATTTATCTAACAATCTCAAAACAAACTTAGAGAAAATGGGGAGCATCTTAGTGGTTGCCAAGGGCTAGGGTGGGAAAGAAGTGACAGTAAAGGAGTAGCACTAAGTGGTACCTTTGTGGGGATGAAACAGTTTTGTCTTGATGGGTACATATGACCAAATGTTACAGAACTACGTACAGACACAACAGAGTGCAAGAAGAGCTGATAAAATCCAAGTAAGGTCTATAGTTCAACTAGCATATTCTGCCAATGACGCTTCCTGGTTTGGCAACGTACCATCATTATGTAAAATGGTACCACTCTAAGCAGCTAGGGGAAGGGTACATGGGACCTCTGTACTATTTCTGCAACTTCTGTGAGTCTAGTTATTTCAAAACAAAGTACTTTGTTTTTTTTTTTTTTTTTTTTGCATGTGTGTGTTTTTTAGACAGTCTCGCTTCAACACTAAGCTGGAATGCAGTGGTGCCATCTCAGCTCACTGCAACCTGCGCCTCCTGGGTTCAGGCAATTCTGCCTCACCCTCCCGAGTAGCTGGGACTACTGGCAGGCGCCGCATGCCACCATGCCTGACTAATTCTTTTTTTTTTTTTTTTTTTTTTTTTTTTGAGATGGAGTTTCGCTCTTGTTACCCAGGCTGGAGTGCAATGGCGCGATCTTGGCTCACCGCAACCTCCGCCTCCTGGGTTCAAGCAATTCTCCTGCCTCAGCCTCCTGAGTAGCTGGGATTACAGGCACGTGCCACCATGCCCAGCTAATTTTTTTGTATCTTTAGTAGAGACGGGGTTTCACCATGTTGACCAGGATGGTCTCGATCTCTTGACCTCGTGATCCACCCACCTCAGCCTCCCAAAGTGCTGGGATTACAGGCTTGAGCCACCGCGCCCGGCTCCCGACTAATTCTTTGTATTTTTTATTAGAGACGGAATTTCATCCAGGATGGTCTCTATCTCCTGACCTGGTGATCCACCCGCCTCGGCCTCCCAAAGTGCTAGGATTACAGGCGCGGTGGCTCCCAAAAGTGCTGGGATTACAGCCCTGGCCAAAACAAAGTTTTTAAACGGGGAGAGAAGCTTCCCAAAGAAGCTCTTATGAATAACTGCTAGGAAAAACGATGAATAATTGCTAACATGTACACAATACTATTCTATGTGCCAGGACAAGTTTACATGTGTTACCTTCATTAGTCCTCACAACAATTTTAGCTGATTCCTAAGTTATTGTGCCCATTTTATAGTTAGGAAAGTGAGCCCAGAGGGAGCAACCAACTTGCCTAAAGTCACCAGCCAAACAAGAGGAGATCAGCCTTTCTGATTCTAGACTTTGGAATCTTCACCACCACATCGTGCTGTCTCCAAGATAAACGAATTCCATTCTCAAAGGATGCTCAACGAGTCAGCAAAGGCAAAAACCTTGTTCCTGCTCTGAGGCTATGACAACCGTACAAAATGTCAGCAGACCTCCTTAGTACCCCAGGGGCTCCCAGACCTGGGCTCCACTTGGCCACAGCCCTCATCTGGATGCCAAAGGCTCCATGGGCAGCAGATGCCTAACATCGGACACAGGGTTCCGGGCGCCCCGGGGCATTGGAGAACAGTTGATTGGCTAGGCCGGAGAAGGGTGGGTGGCTAGCAAGAGGGCTCAGAGTCCTGGGCTAAACCAGCCTCCGCAGAGGACTCGCGACCGTCACTTTCCCATCAGAAATGGGTATATTCGTCTACCTCCCTGGGGACGTGGGAGGCGGGGTTCGTGAGGAGGACAGAAGGAAAAGTCCTCTGCGAAGAGCAGCGCCGAGCGCCGGTTGTCTTACAGCGTTATGGTGTACGCACGGGGGCACTGGGCAGGGCAGACAGGCGGGACCTCCCCCAGACCCTCTGCGTCTGTGGGCCCAAGCCCCGCCCTCGCCCCCGCCCCCGCCCCAGCAAGTGCGGGTTCCAGACGCCCCCGCGCGGCCCACGTGGGATACGCCCTCGGCCCGTGCGCCCGGCGCTTACCCGGACCTGCAGTTCACGCCCTCAGGCACCGGGGCCAACGTCCCCGGCCCGAGCCGCTGCCCGCTGTCCGCCATGGTGGCCCTAGCTCCGCGGCCACCGCCCCGGCTTGGGCAGTGTGTGTGCCCTGCCGCCGCCCTGTCGCTAGGAGACCGCGTAGCCACTGGCCGCCCGCATTTGCCTGGGGCTCTCGGCAACTTCAGAGGCCCCGCTGCGCGGCCCAACCCTTTCTCTGACGTCTGGGGACGGGGACCTGGCGGTGGAAAGGGTGAGGGAACTGGTCCTTGGTGTAATCACGCTTTACTCTGCTGGGAAGGCGTGTTCATCTTCCCATAGAAACGCGTCATAGACTGGATCAGGTCTTTTTTGCGCATCATCGTTTCAAAAACGTTTACTGAAGGAAAGAAAGGACGAAGGCAAGAAGAGCGATAAAGAGATAGCAAAAAAAAAAAAAAAAAAAGATGGAAAGAGGGGAAAAGGAATCGTTTTTTGTTTGTTTGTTTTTTGGAATAGATTTCTAAAGGTTGGGAAAGGTTTTTAGCAGGGAGATGTTTTCCTGGAGGTCTTGTAATTCTCTCGGTCTCACAGCCTCTTGTTTCTGGTCCCCAGCTGATTCCCAGAGACCCTTCCAGCTCCTGTGTTGATTCTTCTGCTTCGACTCACTTCTGGCAGACAAGTACCATCCAGTCGGCCCTGGTAGGCACGTGACCGCATGATGTGGATTGCATGAGGGTGTGTTCGGTTTTACTAAAGTCATTTGCTACTTCTGAGTGTTTCTGATTTAAATATAAGCATTGGTTCTGCTACTTAATAATTATGCACTCCTGGGGGCAGGGTACTTACATTTTTAAGCTTTATTAATTAATTACCTAGCCTGAAAATGGGGGAAATAATAGTATCTACCTATAGGCTTATTGGGGGCTTTCGATGAATATAAAGAAATTAACACAGCGCCAGCATTTAAGAGTCCCTCAAGAGCCGGGCGCGGTGGCTCAAGCCTGTAATCCCAGCACTTTGGGAGGCCGAGGCGGGTGGATCGCGAGGTCAAGAGATCGAGACCATCCTGGTCAACACGGTGAAACCCCGTCTCTACTAAAAATACAAAAAATTAGCTGGGCATAGTGGCGCGTGCCTGTAATCCCAGCTACTCAGGAGGCTGAGGCAGGAGAATTGCCTGAACCCAGGAGGCGGAGGTTGCGGTGAGCCGAGATCGCGCCATTGCACTCTAGCCTGGGTAACAAGAGTGAAACTCCGTCTCAAAAAAAAAAAAAAAAAAAAAGAATCCCTCAAGAATTATTATGCAGAGTAGTAGAATTCCAGCTGTGAATTGGGGATAGTAATATTTGTCCTGACTACCTCACAGAGCTGTTTTAACAGTTAGTTAATGGAGAAAACTGTGTAGGTAATCATTATAAGTAGCCCAATTAGTTATTTTTATTATCTTTGATATTTGCCTGATTGTTAATGCAAACTTATTGCTTTGAGGAGGTAGGATTTCTGGAGAACTTCTGTGAGAACTGTGTCAAAGGTGTGGTTGTCTAGGCTGAATGGAGTCCTGCAGGAATGATTTGTAACAATTTGTCCAGATGCTTGATTAAACTAAAAAGCTTCTGCACAGCAAAAGAAATAGCAGAGTAAACAGACAACCACAGAGTGGGAGAAAATCTTCACAATCTATATATCCAACAAAGGACTAATATCCAGAATCTTCAAGGAACTCAAGCCAGCAAGAAAAGAACAAGCAGTCCTGTCAACAAGTGGACTAAGGACATGAACGGAAAATTCTCAAAAGAAGATATGAAAATGGCCAACAAACATATGAAAAAAAGGCTAGACATCACTAATTATAAGAGAAATGCAAATCAAAACCACAGTGTAATACCATCTTACTCCAGCAAAAATGGCCATATTAAAAAAATCAAAAAGTAATAGATGTCAGTGTGGATGTGGTGAAAAGAGAACACTTTTACACTGCTGATGGGAATGTATCTAGTACAACCACTATGGAAAACAGTGTGGAGATTCCTTAATGATCTAAAAGTAGATCTGCCATTTCATCTAGCAATTCTACTACTGGGTATCTACCCAGAGGAAGAGAAGTCATTATATAAAAAAAGATACTTACACACACATGTTTGTAGCAACACAATTTGCAATTGCAAAAATATGGAACCAGCCCAAATGCCCATCGATCAATGAGTGGATAAAGAAATTTTGGTATATACACGATGGAATACCACTCAGCCATAAAAAGGAATGAAATAGTGGCATTGGTAGCAACCTGGATGGAACTGGAGACCATTCTAATTGAAGTAGCTAAGGAATGGAAAACCAAACATTGTGCATTCTCACTCTTAAGTAGAAGCTAAGCTATGAGGATACAAAGGCATGAGAATGATACTTTGGGAACTTGAGGGGAAGGATGGGAGGGGATGAGAAATAAAAGACTACACCAGGCGTCCCCAAACTTTTTACACAGGGGGCCAGTTCACTGTCCCTCAGACCATTGGAGGGCCGCCACATACTGTGCTCCTCTCACTGACCACCAATGAAAGAGGTGGCCCTTCCTGAAGTGCGGCGGGGGACCAGATAAATGGCCTCAGGGAACCGCATGCGGCCTGTGGGCCATAGTTTGGGGACTCCTGGACTACACATTGGGTACAGCCTACACTGGTCTGGTGATGGCTTTACCAAAATTCAGAAATTGCCACTGAGGAACTTATTCATATAACCGAAAAAATAAACAAATAAAGGATGCCCAGAAACCTTCTGAAGGAAGCATTTTACCTGAATCTCCAAAGGTTGTGACAAAAAGAAGAAAAAGCTAGCTACAATGTGTATATGAGCAAGCAAGAGATAGAGTTTCCTAAGGTGGCTTTCTATATATTTTCTACAGTTTCAATAATTTCTTTTAAAAATATTTAGCAAAATAATATTTTGGTAAGTTATCACTCTTAAATAAATAAATAAACAGTTCTTCCAGATGCCTAGTGTTTCTACCAATTCAGGACTGCTTTCTAATTTCTCAGCTTAAAGTTTTATTGGTTTTTTGTTTTGGTTTGTTTTTTGAGATGGAGTCTCTGTTGCCCAGGCCGTGTGTGCAGTGGTGCAATTTCAGCTCACTGCAGCCTCCTGGGTTCAAGCAATCCTCCTGCCTCAGCCTCCTGAGTTGCTAGGATTACAGGCACGCACCACCACGCCTAGCTAATTTTTGTATTTTTAGTAAAGACACGGTTTCGCCATGTTGGCTAAGTTCTATTGTTTTTGTTATTCAAATGCTTGTTTTTCTGGAAAGCACCGTGAACTAAGTATTGCTGACCATATAGTAAAATGCTACAGAGTTAGTAATTAGTCCTTGAGTGGAAAAGATGCAGTAATAGTGTTTGAAAACATTTGATATATAATACTTCTGGAAATGAAATAGCCACCTTACCTTGCAAAAAGTCTAGAAATAAACACCTGGAACACCACCAACTTCATTCTTAAATAACATATACTCACTTGATACTCACTTGATACATTTCACCTTTGAGTTGAGAAAGAGAGAGAGAGAGAAAGAGAGAGAGACTAGGAGATTCTCTAATGACTACAATTATGATATGGAACGTATGGAGACAAAATTACCATATGAAGCAATTACCAACTTTTGATGATGCAGATGTTATGAAAATAGATGGTTTCTTATTTATTTATTCAACAAACACCAGAAACGAAGTACCAAGGTGATGAGGATCAAGTCTCTTTTATTCTCCTTTATATCTCCAGTGCCTAGCATGGTATATAACAAATCAATAGTTATTGAAGGAGTACATAATGTGTGCCAGACACAGTACTAGGAACAAGATGGACAAGATCCCTACCCTTAGTCTCAGAGAAATCCTACCTACATGCAAAGTATGAAATTGGGCCTTTACTTTATACTATGTACAAAAATCAACTCAAAACAGATTAAAGATGTAAATTTAAGAGCTAAAACTACAAAATTCTTAGAAGAAAACATGGGGGCAAATCTGTACAATTTTGAATTTGGCAATGGTTTCTCAAAATGATACCAAAAGCTGAAGCGACAACAACAAAAATAGATGAATTGGACTTCATTAGTATAAAAATCTTCTGTATATTAAAGAACATAATCAAAAGGGTGAAAAGATAACCCACAGAAGGAGAGAAAATGTTTGCACATTATATACCTGATAAGAGTTTAATATCCATAATATATTTAAAATCTCCCACCACTCAATGACCAAAAAAAAAAACCCAGTTAAAAAATAGACAAAATAGGGCCGGGCGCGGTGGCTCACGCCTGTAATCCCAGCACTTTGGGAGGCCGAGGCGGGTGGATCATGAGGTCAAGAGATCGAGACCATCCTGGTCAACATGGTGAAACCCCGTCTCTACTAAAAATACAAAAAATTAGCTGGGCATGGTGGCGCGTGCCTGTAATCCCAGCTACTCAGGAGGCTGAGGCAGGAGAATTGCCTGAGCCCAGGAGGCGGAGGTTGCGGTGAGCCGAGATCGCGCCATTGCACTCCAGCCTGGGTAACAAGAGCGAAACTCCATCTCAAAAAAAAAAAAAAATAGACAAAATATTTAAAGAAGATATACAAATGGCCAAAAAGCACGTTAGAAGATGTTCAACATCATTAGTCATTAAGGAAATTCAAATCGAAACCACAGTGAGATACTACTTCACACCAATTAGGATGGTTATAATAATAAGAAACAACAAACAAATAGAAAATAACAAGTGTTGGTGAGTATGTAGAGAAATTAGAACCCTCACGCATTGCTGGTGGGAATATGAAATGGTACAATCACTGTGGAAAACAGTTTGGCAGTCTTCAAAAAGCTACCCATAGGTTTACCATATGACCCATCAACTCTGCTCTTGTATATACCTAAAAGACTCAAAAACAGGAACTCAGATACTTGTACATCAATGTTTATGACAGCATTATTCACAATAACAAAAAAGTGAAAAGAACCTAAGTGTCCATCAACAGATGAATGAATAAACAAAAATGTGGTGCATATATACATGGAAAATTATTCATAAAATGAATGAAATTTTGATACATTTTAACATGGATGAATCCTGAAAACATGCTCAGTGAAAGAAGTCAAATGCAAAAGGACAAATACTATATGACTCCATTATATGAAATATCTGGAATAGGCCAACTCATTGAAACAGAAAGTAAATTAGAGATTATTAGGGACTGGGAGAAGGAAGAAATGAGGAATTCGTGCTTTATGGATA